GCACCTTGTTCAGGATGCCAAGCTTGCGCGACGCGGTACAGATGACGACGATGCTTTGGTTTCTTCAGATTGCCTGTTTGTTTGCATATTTTGATGATTGTTGTTAACGATTATTTTGAGATAGTGTTGTTCTTGGAAGCGTACATATTATCGATATTCTGTTATTAAAATAATTCACTACGAGGTTTTTATTATTATTATTATTATTACTATTTAAAGTTTACGTACAATACCAATGTATAGATAGCCTATTTGCCTTGCCATCGTTCAGTGTCACCGCCTAGCTGACCGAGTGAAGGCGAGCGCTAACGTGTATAGAGCTCGTTTGACATGGCTTGTCACAACTCGCAGTCGCTCGTGACTGCTTGTCTCACTTCGGAGAAGTGTCGATTTTTCTGTACAAATCAAAGGCGCTCGGCCAATAGTAGTCAATTGACATTGTATAATCAGACATTTGCATGCTATTTAATATATGCAAAACATGTTTATACTAACACTGTCTCTCGTTACATCTCCTGTTATACCATGTTTTAAGCAAATAAACGTATAATAATAATATTATTATTGATATATACTGATAGATACTTTCATTTATTTCCAAAATTAAATGGAAGTATTAAAGATTCACTTAAATCAGTCACTGATATTAATTCTATAACAATGCATAAATACAAAAAAGCTTACACAATTTGGAATCTGTTCAAAAATTTCTCTATGAAAATATGAATCTTGAGGTTGGAAATGTCCTATACATTTATGTTTCAAAGTTTTCTCTTTTTTATATACTCTCAAATTACATTTTTTCTGTGCAAATTCACTTCGTAATATTTGAGTATTTGTAAATGCAAAACAATAAATTCGAAATTTCACGTGACATAAAAAGTGTCGTAAAATATTCCCAAATATAATATTGATCTACTTTAATTAAATGTTTGCATGTCGATAATGACTTATCGATAGATTATGGTACGACACTAAAGAAATCCGCCATTTGTTCGTTAAATTTTTGTTTATGCATGCACGTTTATTCCGTAGTTAGGGCAGCTCCTTTCTTTTGTTTTTTTTCCATCCCCTAAGACTCCGCCCAAGTATTTATTTAACTTTTGACATATGCATGCCTCCGAAGTTCCGTAATTATTGATGTACAACCATAAACAAAAAGATTCAAAACTTCCTGGACCCTTATTTTTTAATTTTAGAGGAACGACGTGCTGTTTAGCTCCGATATTTATCGAGCCAACAGATTATGTATCGGAGATTATTCAAAGTAGAAATTGGTACCTGTCTAATAAATTATAATGATTTTAATAAATTGTTATTGCTTATTATAATGAATCGTCGGATTCTTCTCCATATGAATGGGAATCATCATTAACATTAATTATGAATTCTTGAGTACACAAAATGTCAAACGCAACACCACGATCCCAATCAAACAACATCTTCTTTTTTGAACCCACTCACATTCACGATTAAGGGCGCGTTCAAATTAGCCGCTGTTAGCCGCGCTGCAGCCGCGCGGCGGCGGCCGCGCGACAGCCGCGTACTTGTCACTTTTCATACAATTTTTACAAGCGCTGCAAACGCGCGACGGCCGCGCGGCAGTCGCGCTGCTGCAGGGCGTCTAGAATTGTATGAAAAGTGTCAGTCGCGCGGCCATCATACGGCCGCCGCGCGGCTGCAGGGCTGCTGCAGCGGCTAATTTGAACGCACCCTTAACTTCTTCATAAATAAAATCGATTGTTATAAAAATATCGAATCGGAAACACATTAGGACGTCACTACTTGATTAGAATTCGAGTTGTCAAAAGTTAAATAAATGGTATAGACAAGATTCCTGTACGTTGGCTAAATCATCATTTTGTCGACCTATAATGATGGAGCTATAAAAAATTTTAAAAGTGAAGTTAATTAATAATGGCTTTTAGCGGATAGCGTTTTAGGCAAAGACAAAATTTTATGATTTCATTTAAATAATATAAAATAATTATCATTCATTTCTGTGTAAATTCATCATATAAATGTATAAATACGAAAAAAAAATTGTTCTGCTACTACGCTGTTACTATTACGTTCTATGTTTATCTCTAATATTTCGTCTGAATTACTTGAAATATATTTTTTATCAGGCCGTACGGCTGCGACGGCGCGCACGCAGCGGCGGAGTATTTCAGCAAGTCGTGCACGCCCGGAGCTCTCAGCAGCGAATACGTAGACTCGGGCACTGTGCCACACGACAACCTATGTCACCTCTGTCACGGTGCTTCCTTCAGGTGAGATATATGGCGTACCAACGACTCACACAATATCTTGCCCTTACAAAATAAATATCGCAAATGTCAATAAGCATTGATATAATGAATATGTTATACCCAAGGTGCGGAGAACTGGTGTCCGGAAATACTTCCGGCTGCGATGCCGCAGTCATTTTTATTCTATTTAACCATTCATTCTAGTTCTCGTGCTTGTATTCTTCTCGTACTTTCATACTTCATACAATATCATTATTTTATTCGTCTCTTTCACACTTTACCCGGTGGGACTGCCGCCTACACTACTTAGACCATCTACCTATTACACTTTTCTCGTTTCCCATTTGATTTCAGGAGGAAGGAGAAGGAAGTTTCAATAATTTACTCGTTTTCTTATTTTACAGTTCCATACCCTTATACCTATACTTCGTTTCAATCCATTTTAAATAAAAAGTAAACAAACAAATGACTGACTCGACCATAGACGATTTAGTGATGGCCAATTTTACTGCCAACTACAAATCACTTAATTAATTGAATGAATCGATTTGTTTAATTGAGTCATACTAGCAGCTTTCATTACATAATCTATAAAAACAAATTTAAATTTTTCCGAAATCTTAAGTTTAAATCCTCCTTTAAATCCTTACACTTAAATACTCGTTCGATTGCAATTGACGTTTTCGATTTACTAAACGATTTAAAAATATATATAAAAACTTTACTTGAATGAACTGAATGTTTTTTTTCATACAACACTATGCAATCATAGACTATTCATACATCTGTAATTAAAAAATAACCTCACTTATAATCCGACCGGATCGAAGGAATTTTTTCTAAGTGTTTTTTCTGAGTGTTCGATCTTTGTATTAATAATTATAACAAACTAGTGGAGTAATTTCACAAAAAAATAATTGAATATCAATTCAATAAAAATTTAGTTAACACAGTGAATAGCGACATCTCTCGCCAGGACTGGTAGCTGCAAAAGGTACTAACTGGGTGATAAATCTGTAATAGATTTGTCATAGATGGCGCTACGACTAAAAAGTCATTGAAAGACCAAGTACAAAGACACGACGCAAGCACATAGAGAAATTCGTGAGGTCCGTTGGTTCGTTCCGTGGCTTAGTTGGTATACAAGTAGGTTGGTATGCAAGAAGACGTCGCGTCGGTTCGTATCCGACCAGATCGAAGGAATTTTTTCTGAGTGTTCGATCTTTGTATTAATAATTATAACCTCACTTTTTTACTACCATTTTTCAAATAAGATTTTACGATATTATTCAAATTTATATTGTTGGAAAAATCGATGAGATATCAAACCAAAATCTTCGAAATATACGTTGAATACGTTATTCGATTTATTGAGTGATTACTTTAGAAATTCAACCAAACCGTTTTGTTTATATTTCGTTTAAAATGGACTGGAACAGACTATACTACATTCGTGTTCCTTATTATATAATACATGCTTTTCCTTATATCAATCCCGACATTATATTATGGTAAATATTATTAATAAATTTATTTATATCTCATAAATAAATTTATTATGATTATTTATAACCTACTCACCATTAAGCGTCTAATTATTTCATGTTGTTTTACAATTACAGACGTTGTCGCCGCGACGCAAGCGAACCGTACTACGGCCACGTAGGCGCAGTCCGTTGCATGGTAGAGGGAGGCGGCGACGTGGCCTTCGTACGACATACGGCACCAGCCGAGGTGTCCGGCGGAAGACGGCGCGAGTGGTGGGCAAGAGATTTATTGCCTGATGATTTGCAGCTCTTGTGTCCTGATGGTAAGATGTCACTAGCTAACATTTTTTTTACCCCGGGGAATCTGTACACAGATATTCCGGGCATGAGCGGACAGGGCCGATATTATGTGGGACTGGGCTAATGTTGGGTCATGGAAAAGTTTCCATTTTGAAAAAGTCATATTTTTCAAGAAAATAAATATTTTTCCGGATATTTTTCCACATTTGACGTTGACACTTGTCAAATGTTGAAGTTACTGTACGAAAACGATGGAGCCAACAAGTGGTGGTAGCGTGGTTGTTCGAGGTTTTTGGCTGTTGTGAAATCATTTTAAATCTCGTTTTTCTTATAGGTCCTTTTTAGCTACACAAGTTTGTTTCATAATTCACGCTAAATAAAACTTTAAAAGATATTTCTAAACGTAGAACATAATACGAGCCTTCGAAATTATATTTTTCAATTTTTTCAGGAGTTTTTCCGGAAAAATTTCCAATATTTGAAATTATTAGGAAAATTACCCAACAGTAGACTGGGTTGAACTTGAAGGGGAGCAGCCTGACCGCACTAAACCCCCAGGGTAATCCACTTTTCGCCGATGCGTAACGGACCGTGACATCGCTATAGCGTTTCATTACCCGCCGGTGGTCGTCGGTCTTCGGACCCTCTGAAGTTCTGTATAGTGTCACCCCCGGAAGACATCCAACGCGCGCACTAACCTGGGAACTCTCAACATAGGCGGCAGAACCACCCGTCCAGAGCCCGAGAGGTGCCCGTTATGGCTGTTGGGCCATTTAGACCGTTCTACTACGCCGGATTCGGTCCTGGGCATCAGGATCCCGTTCCGTCTCCTCTCTAGCTAACCATAACTGAACTCTGTAACATTCACATGTTACAATACATATAAACTCAACATGCTATAGTCTGTCTCTTTTGAAGACGGTTGACATTTGTGGGGTTGCCACTTTAATAAAATTTTAAATAGTTATGTAGTTGTTGTCGATAGTTAATATATAAAAAGACTATCAATTACTTTTTTATGTGAAATTACTCAACTAGTTTCTTATAATTATTAATACAAAGATCGCACACTTAGAAAAAAGTCCATCGATCCGGCCGGATTCGAACCGACGTCTTCTGGCACGGTTTGCTAGCGACGGTATAACAACAAACACATAGATATAAGAACACTGATGAAAATACATTATAGTTCAGTCGATATATTTTAACATGGTCTACCACTAAGTAATGGTATCCCATCACTGGTTCATGAAGTTTACATGTCAAGAGTAGGAATTTTTGTATTTCTAAATGCAGTGTACATATGTGTAAACTTACAAAGATTGACAATTCAAATGAACCTGTACTCAACAGTTGGACGAATAATGGGCTGTTGATTATTCAAATGAAACAAATTCCACTATTTATTCCTTATGCGTTACCAACATTCAGTCGATAATCGATAGAATATTTATCGACGGCAATCACTAGCTCGGGCAACACTTTTGCTTAATGAACTGTCATTTTACTCTATCTTTCAGAAAGACAAGACTATAGCATAATAATAAACGGTACCGGGACTTTCGCCATCTAAAGTGCGTATACGTGGACGAATGATTCTTTTTCCCCTGTACTTTTTGATCATTTATTTTTAAATATTGTGAAATAAACCTGCTGATGTGGTAATGTTTCTAAGACCGAATATATCAAATATGTACATATTCCAGGAACACGGGCGAAAATGCACGAATTCAAGCACTGTAACCTGGGCAAGGTACCGGGATCAGTTCTAATGGGAAGACCGAATCATACTGAGCTTGACACCTTCTCTAATCTCATGGTGTACGCTCAGCAGTTTTATGGCGCTATTACCTCGGATGAATTTAGGTATTTATAACTACATAACCTTTTACTACTACCATAAGTTTTTCCAGTGGCGTAAAACAATAATAGTAATAATAATATATTTGTCCACAAACATTGTTGTACAAGAACAAATTAATAAAAAATAGTACAAGCAACAAGTGCATAAAACGCGTCATTTTACCCGAGACACATATATCCACCTGACCCGCAGACGAGAGTCGATACTTAAGTCCAGGGTAAAATGGGTTTTATAAACGAGTTATACAGTCTGCTTTTCACTTCGATTGCGAGGAAATTAAACAACAATATTACAAATAAACGATTATTTAATTAAAATTTAATGTAAAATTACAACAATTAGACATATAACACGGATTAAAAAAATTAAAGTAAAGCTTTATTTTATAAATTTCTAGTGTGTGTGGCTGTTGGCGCAGGCGTCATTGCCTAGATCTTAAACGACGATTTTATTTTATGCAGCCTACGCCCAGCATAAATACGAACTTTAAGAGCATGAGAACTGAAAAAAACATTTCATCGCCTAAATTCGTAAACCTCTTAACAACCATTGATTTAACTTTCGAGTAGAGACAAAAAACTGAATTACTGGAAATAATTATATGACTATCTATGATTATACCTTTACTTTGTAACTGAAAAAAGGGTCTACAAAATTATATTTTAAGCTTTAATTGCCCAATATTGCGTTTGAAGAGTTAAAAAGAGATTATCTCCAAAAACGGAGTTACGTGGTCTTCAAATTTAACCGACGATAGGCTGGAGCCTAAACTAGGTTTACCCTGTGCTATAGGTCTCCAAGCCTCCACCTACGGATAAAATATTTATAATTGATTGCGACAAAAATTATATATGTAGGCGTAAAACAATGTATGTATATAGGGTGTCAGAAAAGGTTCGTCTGTTTATATCACAAAAGCAGAGTAACTCAAATACATTCTATTCTGTCAAAACAATTTTTTTAAGTAATTTCCGTATTTAAGAAATGTGTCGTGATAGTCGGGCCAAGCGGTCTAATGGTTAAAGACAGTGCTGAGAAGTTTCGTTCCTTTTTTAATAAAACTATAATTAATAATCTGTTTGTATGGCGCCATTATTGTTGGATGCCACAAATAAGTATTTTGGATTCTAACTTCCTGTTCCAGAATGTCACTATTTTATATCGAAATTCTATCCTGTTTTCACATTTTACTATTAACTAAAAAAAATTTAAAACATTTCACTTTGGACACTTGTCCAATATCTTAATTGCCTCAGGCATTCATTCTCGCCGGCATTGCGCCTTGCCCAACACCGTGACATATTGCTCGGCAGCTTCAAATGATTAATTTTTTAAAATAAAAATGAAAATAATTACTATTTCTTATTAATATTTCTTATTTACACCTTATATACCAACTATGCCATGATATTACTTTTAAGTCACCCTTTATAAAATTGATTGATTGTGGGTTTATTATGAAATCGAATTAAAAAATATACTAACGCTTACACAACACCCTTAAAAACATACATTTTCGAATATATAAAAAAGTGTGTGTATATATTATATATATATATATATATATATATATATATATATATATATAATCTTATCTGTTTTGTTAGCTGGTTATAACACCATTGTAAAAATGATTTCAAATATCTTCACAGCTTCAGCATGTTCTACTCGCAGTCTCCGTACTCAGACCTCATATTCAGCGACGCAGCTGTCCGTCTTAACCCTCTAAAACACAACCAACGTTCAGCAGAGATCATCGCTGGTAACGCTCTTCCCCGTGCTGCCAGAATCGTGTCCTGTGATGCCCCACAATCGTTGTACTACATTGCATCGGACCCAGATTTTTTGTCACACGCTTATAAAGTTAGTGTAGTTGGACATATTATTGTAATTGCCCTGTTTTTAGTTGTTTTATTACGATAAGTTAATGTCCTCAGTGATTTTGTCCAAGGGTTATTTTAATTACCCCAAAAGTGCTTAACACAATATTCAAAAAAATTTTGATAATAATATTTTTAATTTCCATACAAACCTGGATGCAGAAAAGTTGTTCTAAAATGTTATTATCAAATATTATATAATTTATGAATATTAAAAACTTATTTAATGAAAAGCATTCATCTAAATCACTCCTTTTTAGCTAAGTAATTTCGGAAAGTAATAGAATAATAGAATAAGTATATTATATATTTATAAGAAGTTGTTTTTTACAAGGATAGAATACCGTGTTCTTTGTTCACGGGGATTGCAAAAAGTAACCCTGTATGCTCGGCAGATAGTGATTTATGTATGCAAGTTTGTTTTAAAATGACTTAATCATGTCCTTGATGGAGGAATCTCTCTAAAATATCTCGACTAAAGAACTTCAATACAAGGTAATAAATTTCAAAAATCATCTTTATAAGATTGGCAATTTATTCATAATAAAAAATTGGCTCATGCTTAAAACAGTGCTGCGAAAAGTAATGCAATATCACATTACATTCTCGTAAAAATAATATTACAGTGTGATATCCCGTATCACTCTGTGCTAGCTTTGCTGGTTAGCAATATTACCATCACTAACACTACACATCACCTGTTCCGACATTGCTGCGACTGATACGCATAACTAGAGCAGGCAGATATATATTAAGCAGTGTAGACGAACTATTACATTTACAATTTCTAAGTAACGCAGACCATAGCAATAAAGCTAATACACTATTTAAAAGCATTTATGTAAACTTTATATTGTAAGTAATTGAAATAAAAAAAAACGGTATTGTGTCGGGTGTTTTTATGAGTGATCATTAATTTTAATGTGTGATACACTCGCGTGATATCGTAATGATAAATTATCACAATTGTAATGTTACTCGCATTACCTACACTTTTTCTATACGACTCTTGATGTCAAAAGTGAATACTGGCAAAATCCACTCTTTAGGTTTAACAAATAAATAAATAAAATTTAACAAATAAAACTTCCTACAATGTTTCTAAAAGAAAGAAAATAACATTAGCTCTCAAATTATATATTTGTAATCTCATTAAAATATATATATAACCGTCATTGTGAATAAAAACCGCCGAAGTATTTTAATAACCGGCAATCTATCTCACTACCGCTACACATGTCTCTCAACCCTGACATTGGCAAAATCGTCGCGCAAAACGACGGAGCCATAGACACAAAAGTTGAAGTTGAAGTTGAACAAGTAACTTGTTAGCCTTTGTGAAAGACATCATATATGTTATAGGCAGCTGAATTTCGTAGTGTAGAAATTAGAAATAAGATAAAAAAACTAGATTAAAATTTCTTGTAAATGACGTGCTAGATCTGATTTTTTTTATTTACAACTGTAAGTATCTTTTTATAGTTACATGAAACATATTTTATATATCCGTCCAATATTTTGTAATTGTGCCTTATATCTACTATTTTATTTTTTATATTTTTATTACTCTTTATTTACAAAATCTTTTATACTTTATTGTTTTACGTGTATCCGTCCATTGGAATCTCAATGACTGAATATTATTTTTAAATTAAAACTATAAGAAAGAATCAATTTGTTTTATTAAACAACCAGCACAAACTTAAATCTTACATTAACTTTTTATGATTATAACATTGGAAACCATCAGGCAGTGTACCAAAGGACTTGACTATAATTCTCAATTCTTGTCTTTTACAGATTTCTTTGATAGCTGCCTGTCGAATCTCCCCACTAGTTTCAATCCTACAAGCGTGATCTCTCCATTTTCCATACAGGCAATTTGATTTTGCAATTTCAGAATTTATTAGCGGCACCAGCCTACTACATTTAGGTGTGTCTTTTGCACATAGATACAATGCCTTAAAAGCTAAATATCTGAAGTGATTTATACAATACATAAATTGAAAATCTGCCGGTTTAGTCTTCACTAAAGTACCGATTATACTATTACTCAATTTGACGGCTACTCTCTTTTTGTATAACAAAATGTAGTGTTTCATTTCTTCTTCTCCGCATAAAATGGCTAATATAGTACAAAATTTATTAGCTGATAGGCAGAAAGTAGTAAAAATATGCTGCCATATTAACTCTTCGGAGTTGTGGATGAAGTTGAAAAGATGATTATTGATTTGTATTCCAGATTGACCAATTCGGTTTTCTAGAAACTTGTTTAAGTTTGCTAATGCCGAGGTAAAGGCCATCTTATAACACATTTGTCCAACAAACACATTATGTGCTCTGCTAACTTCTAACGTACTTGTATTATAACTATATCCAAGAAAAGTTATTATGTTACTCGACTTTATTGTTTCATGTTTAAAGTTAACAACTGTCTTTTCGTAATTTACATTTCTAAAATTAAACAGTGCTTGTAGAAACAGAAGAGCATCTTCCAACGAGTCTGTAACATAAAGATAGTCATCTACAACTCTAGTAAACAGTTTTATCTGTGATGTTAATTTGGTGAGATGTTCAGCAAAATAGATTTCATCAAGACAGGTATAGTATAATTCGGATAGTGCAGGAGAATACTTGTACCCTTGTACCAAACCCTCCATCCATTCAAAAACGGTATTTCCTGCACGGACTAATAATGGCTTTCGGAGTTCAGCCACAATTTCTTTATATTGTTGAGCAGCTTTCTTCTTGAAATAACTGTTTTTCTCAGTTTTCTGAAAATTTAAATGCTTTTCACACAAGAATTTCATCAGTTTTTCTTTGTTAATAGATCCAAATGCATTGCTGAGATCCGTTTTTATAAAATACAATGGTGGTTTTTTCAAATCTGACCAGTTCTGATAAAGTTTGTTATATTGTGATTCTATCTTGTTTTGTGACTTGCATGTTAATAGTTTTAAAAAATGTAATTTTTCTTTTATTTTATACTTTTCTGTTTTAGATTGCTGATCACTTTTATAACGTACTATGGGTCGGCAGTCTCTATTTGGTTTTAAAATTAAATGTAGCTTCGGAATATCTCTGTGTAGAAACTTTAATTTCGATCGCTCTCTAAGACTATAGTTTTTCTTCACCTTTTTGCCTATACAATAAGGATCAAATCGTTTCAGAACTTTTGAAAATATCATGTCTGAAATCTTCTTGTCATAAAAGCTTTGCCATTGATTCTTCCAGAAAAAATGTAGTTTGTTTTCATCAGAGTCCAATTTACATGTTGTTACGTAGAAATTCAAACAAATCATTGGTGATAGTATGAACTTTACCATCCAAATCAAAATGTTGTACAGGATCTTTGTTGATATATCTACTGTAAAGAAATTCCAAGGTCGTACAGTAAAATCCCACTTCTGTATAAAATGTTTTAATGGCATGTATTGACGTTTCATACTGAACACAACAGATTTAATAAATTTTTTCAACAGTTTTGTATTATTGGTGGTTCCAAAGAAATTTTTCGGTATTATTTCATTGAGTGCTGTCCAGCAACATGTAAAAATCAAAGATTTATTTACCGAAATTAACTTTTCTTCAGGTATTGAAGAAAAATCATTTTTAAAATTTTCTCTGGACTTATTGTGAACATTATTCCTTAAAATGGTTAGAATCTGTATTATTTCTGGAGATAATTCACCCATCAAACTTTTTCCGAGTATATGTTGAAGAAAAGGCTCGATGTCTTTATTCTTCGTTACATTGGATTTCAGTATGTTTCCAAAAGAACGTACATTTTGTTTGTTCACAAAGTATTGCGTAAAACAAATTGGTGCTTCCATAGTGTAATTAGTGTCTTATCGATCTGAATTAAAACTGTGCAGTGTAAAATAAAAGACGTACGCGACCCGTACCTCACGCTCAACTTTCAAATTTTCGCAAACATGTTGAAACTTGCTGCAGAAGCAACACAAAATTGCTACGTTTTGTTCTATGCAGCATTAACCGTAAAACTATATTTTTTGTTGTTTGTTTAAATACCTACATATACATAATTTCTTCACATCACATAATCTAAGGCTATTCATTTTACCGCATATACACGCTCACTCTAATGTTATTTTAGAAATATCTTTCTAATTTGTATTTTAGAATAAATTGGTAAAGGAATGTAGATTGACGTTTGTTATCAAAGGTTCAGGTTATACAAGGTTATTGATAATATCTGTCATTCACATTCTTTGATTCGTAAATAACAACTCATAACGTATTGAAATCTACAAAAAATCTTTGCCCATAAACCTACATTAATTTTCAACGTTAAACGTTGTTTAATTTCTTACATTGCTAATTTTGTATATAAACAAGCAGTCCAAAAACAAACAAAAGTGTTCTTAATAAATACGACCATTATTATTGGTATGACATTTAATTTGTATCAAAATGGCTCAATCAACAGTGAGAGACTTACTGCAAATATTCAAAAGTTGTGTGGCAGCAGTACTACCTCAAAATCTAATAAGACAAACTGTTAAATACAATCCTGCTAACCAAGAATTAACGATTGTCGATAGAACGTATGACTTACAAAAAGAAAACATTTACCTAGCCGGAACCGGAAAAGCGGTGCAACATATGGCACGAGAAATCGAGGAAATTCTAAATTCGAAAATTAAACGTGGAGTTGTGAGCATACCGCAAGGCAGCTTGAACCAGTATACAAATAAAATAGTGCAATATTTGGAAGGGGCTTCTAACAATTTACCTGATAAAAATGCCGTAAATACTTCTATAAAGATTAAAGAAATGGCTACAAAGCTTAACAAGGACGAGTTGTTATTAGTTTTAATATCCGGTGGAGGGTCAGCATTGCTGTCTTTGCCGAAGCTGCCAGTGACTTTAGATGAGAAAACTAGCTTGATTAAAAAGTTAGCAAATTCAGGTGCTGATATAAAGGAACTTAATACTGTTAGGAAAAAGTTGTCAGACATCAAAGGAGGCCAATTAGCAATAGCAGCTCAACCAGCTAAAGTGATATCTTTGATTCTTTCCGATATAGTAGATGATCCTATAGACTTAATAGCTAGTGGACCTACAGTGGAAAATACAGATGATTATTTAAAAGCTTTAAGTATTATAAAAAAGTACAATTTATATGATACTCTTCCGGAATCAATTAGAAAGGTACTTGAAAGCAAAGAGGGAGAAAGACAGTTTCCAAAGAACAATGTCAATAATTACATAATAGGTTCAAATAAATTAAGTATTAAAGCTGGTGTAGAGGAAGCAAAGCAACTAAATTATCATCCAATTGAACTCTCAAATTCTGTAACTGGATATCTTAAGGATATATCACGGAAATATGCAGTACTGACTAAGGTTTATTGTGAACTTCTAGAAGGGAAAACTAATATTGAAGTTACAAAAAGTAATATTCAATTGTTAAAAATTCCTGGATTAAACATTGAAAATATACAATTTACTGATAAAGATATTTGTTTAATACTAGGAGGAGAGATTACGGTTAAAGTTACAGGTAATGGGAAAGGGGGGCGAAACCAAGAATTAGCTCTACAATTTTCAAAAGATATTAATGATTTCAAAGACCTATTACACAATTTTGAAGTCTACTTTCTAAGTGCAGGAACTGATGGTATAGATGGACCTACAGATGCAGCTGGGGCTATTGGATATTTAGGCTTAATTGGCAATGCTGAAAAGGAAAATGTTGCTGTTGAAAAATTCATTTTGGATAATGATTCCTATAATTTTTATAAGAAGTTTCAGAATGGTTGCTTTCATGTAATAACTGGACATACAGGTACAAATGTTATGGATATACATTTGATTGTTATTAAAAGAAAAACCAAGTAAGATATTTGTTAATGTTCTTTTTTGTTCCTAAATTATTTAAAACAAAAATTGAGTTAAATTGGAAATGAAACTATTTTTTTCTGATCTAATTCGCATATATTATTATTCTAACAAACCAAAACATTTCGGGCTCTTTACAGGTGCCACGGTTATGGCCTGCAGCTGACTGAGATGTATTAGTTGATTTTGTTCATAATCTTGCTTTCAGTGCTAAATAAGTTTCTAGGAATTCATAAATAACTTTGTAACAACACTGCTGTGTTTATTCCTTTTAAAAAGCACAAAAACTAATATACGGTGTTTACAAACACTTATAACAATTACTTTATGAGTATAAAAAAATATTTTTCAAGGTGATGGTTTGAGAAATAAATTCAATTTATTTTGTTTATCCTTCATTTCTTTCAATTTAGCCATAGACAAAACAGCTTTTTGACAAAGACCTGCAAATTTATCTTTTTTCTTTTTATTATTTTTAATTACTTTTGGTGCATCTTTTTGTGCTTTAGTAATTATGTTCTTTTTATTATTTAATAAAAATATTTCTTCTGTGGCACTGTAAACATTGACTTCTGGTTTCTTGATTACATTATCTTTTTTCTTTACTGCTTGAAGTTTCTTCACATTAGCAGGGCTTTTATTCATATTTTTATTAATTTCCTTTACATTCTTCTTTTCACTAATTGTGTTATCCTTTGTAGAAGTTTCTATAAACTTTTCCGCTTTTGGTATTGGGGTAACTGTGCTGTGTTTGCAGAGAATGCAGATTTGTTCCTAGAAAAAGTTTTTTTTAAATTCTTAAGTTCTGATTCAGTTGAAGCACGAAAATTTTAAATAACAGGACTTCAGCTTCTATTTCTGTTCATAAGTCACAGAAGTCACAGAGTTAAAAATATTACATGAAATGTGTAGAACTCACCATTTCATTGCTATTCAAAAGTTCCAGCTTGCTTTTTACACAATCCTTGTTTATTTTACTAACTTTCCTAGATCTTATTCTCCTCCTTTGCTTTTTGGTCAGTTTTATTGGTTTAACCTAAAAGAAATTTGTAAAATCTTGAGGGTTTACCTAGGTACAGTAACATGATGGCAAAAGTCAATAGTATTCCAGTTGGCCCAACTTTAAGTGACACAGATGCAGATTAGCAATTTATTCAAGGTTGTGACCAACTTGTGTTACATCAAACACAGTTACAGTGCAAATAGTGTCTAAAGTGAAAAAAATTCACACCATCACTACGTCTTACAGATAGTTGTTTATTCTATGTTTACCTAGCAATAAATAATTTATATGTCACAGAAGAAAACGTTAAGTGTTCTCCGCAACATCCAACATTTGCTATTGAATGCAGTTTATTTAATCCCTATATATAAATTCATTGTAATTACTGTAGAAATATTTGATTCATTTTATTCTAATTTTACTGTTTTATTGTCTTTAATATTTTGACTGAAGACTTGAATCCAAAGTCTTGAAATACATTTTTTTTAATATGATATGGCTTACATAATAAATTGTGTTAAAATAAAACAGAATTGTTGGTGATTCAGAATATAATTTTCAGATGCAACACCTTGTACATAGGTATACCTAAGCCTAGAAATCAATACTTTTTATAATTAACATTCCATGAAACGATTACAACTGAGGATATTAACCCATTTATGGAAAGTAACAGTAGTACAGGGCACTCGGTTTTGTTTATATGGATCTCAAACAAACCAACTACAGGCTGTTGAGTGTGATTTCCGAGTGCTTTCTGTATAGTTGTCACCTACTATTTGTCCAAAGAGAAGTATCAACAATATACCAACAAAATTCAATATTTTACATTGATTTTTTTTTATATTACATCAACATAAGAACTACAGCAAGAAAAGTTGTAACATTTTTGTGTGCAATATTATTTAAGTACTTCTTTTTAATTACTGGCAGCCCCCTATTAGGATTTTGTCCATAAACAGGTTAATAACTGACAAAAGTTAGAATAATTGGGTTAAAACTTACTGTAACATTAGTCCCTTTCTTCCATTCAATACAGCAATTTGCACACCGTACTTTTGATGAAAACTGCTTTTCGGGGAGCCCAAATCCTCTAGTCGTCTCCTTACATCGCATCCTTGAACCAATTATTATGGACTGTATAATATTTATACAATACTAATGTTTATTTATATTTTCCATAATTGTAGCCAACCACGGGCTTTTAAAGAAAGAAATTCGTTCTGTGCCAGTGCCAAATAGTGGAACAAACAAAGTACAAAGACATAAAAGTTAAAGAAAACTTTGTAAAAGATGTTTAAACTTACAAGTAATAGCTTCGTAGCAACGTAAGGCTACGATTTTCAGAGTGTTGCAGTGTCGAGGCAGCTTTGCAGAGAAAACCAACTTTTGCTTCAGTCATTTCTAACGCTAAATTAAACAAGAAACGAAAACTTTTAAATACCAAGTGAATTTGGAGGTTATTCACAATCATACGTTCAAAATTAGTACATAATTTTTTTTATTTTTTTTTTATTTATTAAGGCTTTGGCAAAGCCAACAGCCTAAACTTGAAGTTGAATTATGTTTCTGTAAATATGGCCTCCACAGAGGATAGGAAATTTGAGGCGGCGTGTTTGGATTGACTCGGGATTCCTTAAAACGGGCCGATACGGGTATTCTAGTTCGAGATTCGTTAATTTCGCGTTTTAATCTTCGATTAAGGCACAATAGCACTATCCTATTCCACTTCAAACTAGATTTCACAAAATAATTGAAAGTCAAAATAAAAACGACATTTTTCCCTCCAAAAACTTTCCCTTTTTGGGGGTTAAGTAGCTCGCGTCCGTAGGCTGTGTACCCTCGAGACCCTACACGTGACCCCTGGGTGGTGCCAAATAAGCTACAAACTCCGGTGGTAGACCTTGGTCGTGGCTGGTGACCACCCTCTGGGCGAAGCCTAGCCGCCAAACAGCTATAGCTGTGTTCCGGCTTGACGCCCAGAGTAGCCGCTCTAGAGTGAAGGGTCTGTACAGTTGCACTGCACTGATTTGGTTGATCTCGGGGCTCCCTTGTTGTTGCGCTGGGAACCTAGATGCGGAGGGTAGCGGGATCCGAAGCACGGTGCTCCGCTGGCCGACCGCAGGTAGTAGGAGGCCCAATTAGCTGACTAGCCTCCAGTGAAAGGCTGCCCCGCCAACTCGCGAAAAATCCCGGGGTGCTCCATCGTGCCGGTTGGCGACCGGATGAAAGGACCCGATGGCCACCCCCGGGGGGGTTCGGGCGTCCCCGCGCGCTCCAGTCTAGTTTCCCATCGGCGTACCATATAGGGTATGTGCCGCATGACTTTCAGTAGTAGTGTCTCGTACAACTGCCTTCGCTCTCCCCATTCACTCTAACCCTACTATGAAAAGGTCAAGAAAATTGAGGAAGGCTAAACAGCGGATGCACGTCCTTTCACTTAAAGTGCACCTCTCGAACATCCGAGGTCTGCACTCCAATCTCTCATCTGTCCACCACCATCTTGAGACTGAAAGGCCTCACATGCTCTTCCTCACGGAGACCCAAATTAGATGTCCTTCGGACACGGCGTATCTGCATTACCCAGGTTACATTCTGGAGCACAAATTTAAGCAGCGCGCTGGTACCTGCGTTTACGCTCGTGATGACATCTGCTCTAAACGTCTCCGTGACCTTGAAGACCCCGATCTCTCTGTAATGTGGGTTCTGGTAGACACTGGACTGGAACAAATTGTCTACGCCAGTGTGTATCGGTCGCATTCTGGAGACCCGGAGACGACTAGGCTGTTCAACCATCTTTGCAGCTCGGCGGAAACAGTCCAACAACGGTATCCTAAAGCACAACTTGTCTTTTTGGGGGACTTTAATGCCCATCACCAGGAATGGTTGTTCCCATACCAAAAAACCGACCACGCTGGAAGAGAGGCGCGGGCATGTGCTCTATCGCTAGACCTCACCCAGCTGGTGAGTTGCGCTACCAAGGTACCGGACGTTGACGACCACACTGCCAATTGCCTGGATCTTCTGCTGACAACCGATCCAGACCGCTACCAAGTATCGGTCTCATCCCCACTAGGGACATCCGATCACTGTCTGGTGAAATCTGTATCTGTCTACTCCCCGCCCGATCTCAGTACGGGAAGTACTAGGAGGATGTGGCGATACAAGTCAGCAGATTGGGATGCGATGCGGCATTTCTTTGCATCTTATCCCTGGCGGCAGCTGTGCTTCTCTTCTGACGATCCGACGTGCTGCGCGTCTGCCGTCTCTGAGGTGATTATTCGGGCTATGGAATACTTTATTCCGTATTTCGAAGTCTCCTCCAGCGGCAAAGCTCGCCCTTGGTTTAACGCTGAGTGTGCTTCTGCGGAAACGCTAAAGCAATCTGCGTACCAGGCTTGGGCTGATGCTCGAGATCGCAAAGCACCGGAAACCCTCCGTCTGAAGAAAGCCTTTAATAAAGCCGCTAGATCCTGCAAAAAAGCGATACGGAAAGCTCGCTTCGGCCATATTAGTCGTATTGGGGTCAGGTTAGCTTCATACCCATCAGAGAGTAAAGCATTCTGGTCACTCGCTAAATCGGTCGAAGCGAATTTCTGCAGTCATCCCTTCCGCCTTTAATGAGAGATGACGGATCGCTGGCTCATACCGCTGAAGAGAAAGCAAATCTTTTTGTTTCTCTTTTTGCTTCCAACTCCCGTCTTGACGCTACTTTGCAAACACCACCTACACTACCTCGATGTGACTCGGAAATGCCCGAAATCACTATCCGTCAAAAAGAGGTGTTGAAAGCTTTACGCAAATTAGACGTCAACAAAGCCAGTGGCCCTGACGGAGTCCCAGCGATTGTCCTGCGGAACTGTGCACCCGAGTTGTCTCCGGTGTTGACTCGCCTGTATCGCCTCTCTATGAGTTCTGGACAACTCCCGAAATCCTGGAAGCTTGCAAATGTACAGCCTGTACCTAAGAAAGGTAGCCATGCCGACCCATCTAATTATCGACCTATCGCAATCACCTCCATACTCTGTAAGACTATGGAGCGTGTATTGAACAGCCGTCTCCTTGGATACCTCGAAGATAACGATCTCCTCAGTGATCGACAATATGGTTTTCGCCGTGGACGATCTACTGGGGATCTTCTTGCGTACGCCACACATTTATGGAGCGAGGCTGTCGAGAAACGCGGTGAATCGCTTGCCGTGTCTCTCGACATATCAAAGGCCTTTGATAGGGTTTGGCATGATAGCCTGTTAAACAAGCTTCCAGCTTACGGAATTCCTGTTGGCTTTTGCACATGGATAGGCGATTTTCTGAAGGATAGGTCAATCCGTGTAGTTGTAGATGGTTACTCGTCTGCTCCTCATGGTATAAATGCCGGTGTACCTCAGGGATCTGTCCTCTCCGCCACTCTATTCTTGCTGCATATCAACGACCTGCTGCTGATGCCCGGTATCTTTGGGTACGCAGACGACAGCACAGTGGCGGTGAGTTATGTGCCAGACGCCCGAGACAACAGTGAAGAGATCCGGTGTAAGCGAGAGGCGATGGTCACCCGGTTGAACCTGAGTCTGAAAGCTGCTTCCGACTGGGGAGATGCTAACAGGGTCAGGTTTAATGCGGCTAAAACACAGGCGTGTCTTTTCTCATCAAAACGGAGTCCCCTACACCTTACTCCGACTTTCCGAGGTGTATCCGTGCCGATAAGGGACCACCTTGAGCTACTTGGTCTGGACTTATCATCCAACCTCAACTTTGGGCGATACATCGAGTGCTTGGCAAAAACTGCTGCCAGAAAACTAGGCATACTTTTCAAGGTCAGGCGGTACTTCACACCTGAACAGCTTTTAAATCTGTATAAAGCACAAGTTCGGTCCTGTATGGAGTACTGCTGCCACCTTTGGGACGGCTCTGCCCAATACCAGTTAGCTGCCTTGGACTCGGTGGAGCGTAAAGCAAAGAGACTTATTAACAATAATCCTCTTGTGGAGTCGAAGCTCCAAAATCTCGATCATCGCAGAAAAGTAGCCTGCTTGTCGGTTTTCTATCGGATACATTTCGGGGAGTGTGCGCAGGAACTTTTCAATTTGGTTCCGCCCTCACCGTTCCTCCTTCGGTCGACTAGAAGGTCCGGAGCACTCCATTCTTATGTCGTTGATATTCCACCTATTCGCACTAAGCGCTTTGCCTCCTCCTTTCTGATGCGTACGGCAAAGGAATGGAATGCTCTACTCTAGCATCTGTATTTCCCGAAAAGTACAATTTGGGGCTATTCAAGGCTAGAGTGAATAGGCATTTTTTAGGCAAACGCGTCCCATCGTCGGTCACATCGTCGCTTAACATCAGGTGAGATTGTGGCCAAGCGTGTGTCTATTATATATTTAAAAAAAAAAAAAAAAAAAAAAGGTCCAGAGTGAGCGAATTCAAAAATTAGTACATACATGTAATTAGAGATGGAAAAACTGCTTATTTTTTAAACGTATGCTTTTTTTAAAAAAAAGCGTACTTTTTTAACCGCTTTTTCACTTAAACGCTTTTTAGTTTGAAGCTAACAAACTCGTTTAGAAAACGTTTGAGCGCATAGATTTTATGTTAATAAAAGCTTGCAACGTTGCGTTGTGTTGATAGCGAAACGCAAGAGTAGGCCAATAAAGGTTCTAAGATAAGTAAGTTTTTTTTTGTAAAAAACGAGTTATGTTTTTATTTATGACATAACATTATTATATTGACATTTTGTTCATTGGCGTTTAAAAACATAAGTTATTTAACTTTCATAGTTGTTTAACAGTTGAAATGGAAAAAACTGCTTATTTTTTTAACGTTAAAACGTACGTTTAAAAAGCGTACTTGTAAAAGCGCTTTTCACATAAACGCTTTTTAGTTTGACGCTTAAAAAGTCGTTTAGAAAAACGTTTAAGCCCATAGACTTTATGTTTAAAGAAACTTACAACGTTAATTTGAATTAATTTGTTTAGGAAACAGACGGCGCTACTTGAAACTTAGGTACGTTGTAAAAAATAAAATTGTTGAGTATCTATAGAACTAACCAGTGACCAACGCTTACGCTTAAAATGAAAAGCGTGCTTAAGCGCTTATTAAGCAGACTTTTTAAAGTGCGTTTCGTTTGAACGCCCACCTGTACATGTAATCAATAAATTAAAATCTTTAATGCTGTTAAATAAGGCGCCGCGTAAACGTAGACACTATGGTGTTTTGTGATTTTGTGTTGGAGATGCAACTTACAAGTAATCGTTAAATAATGATCAGCTGAATCACTAGACTTGTCTCTAAGTATTGATGGCGAAGACGTTTGCGTTAACGTGTAATCAGATTAACCCTTTCGCGGGCAGTACTCAGTATGCGGCTAATTTAACTTTTAACATTTCAAAACGGTGCTAAGAACGTCCCTTAGGACATTGACGATTAATTTTAATCCCCCAAATAACCCCCATATTTTTTGAGGGGGGTGGCAACATGTTTGCCTATGTCCCTATGGATATATTTTGTAATCAAATAGTTGCCAGTGCCGACTTCGAAGGTGTCAACTTAGTGTTGCCAATGCCCTATTGTTTGACCTTTAGGTTAGGTTGTGCTTGTTTTTTATTCATAAAATAATAAACCACAATCAACATCGTAATCACAATCAACTTTAATATTTATATATTATGTTTATGAGTTTACTAACAAATTACAGAGATATGGTAAAGCCATAATATTAAAATAAAAAAAACGCTCTGGTTATCTTCAGGCTCGGATTCGTAGTCTTCGAAGCTGTCTTCTGATCCCGAAGTATCTGGTATAGTTAATAATTCAATTATCTCTTTGTTTGTTACTGCAACTCTAAGTTTATGTTTTCGAGGCGGCATCTGAAACAAAAATCAAATGGGCATAGGCAATTATTTATCTCTATGTGTATAAACAATCAAGCATAGGCAACTATTTTGCCACCGTTCTAGGCAGTGGCAATTTCAAATATTTCGCATCATATCTATCATACAACTAGGTAAAACAACAAACTTCTATCATAATATGATAGCTTCGATATTCAATACAAATAAAATAATTGAATACTCACTTTTCTTACGGCAGAATTTTTGATTTTTTTGGATTTGTATTCGAACTCCTAAAAACTAGCCTCACTTTTCTCGCGTCTTCACAAATCTGTCAAAATCATACGCTAGCATTTGATTGGTTAAACCAAATTTGTTACGAGAGTTTCTAAGAGATGGCGTCACCTACATAGGGTAAAAGAATACCAAGCAACTCAATATACTTGGAGCTATATTTAAAAATATGCCTTGGCAAACATTTTGCCTACGCCCGCGAAAGGGTTAACAAACAAAACAAGTGTTTCTTCATTGACATTCATCCTAAATCCTGACAATGATGGAACAAGCTCCATATCTTTCTACGTTAGTTTTGATTATAGTGACCCTCCCTACCTACCATAAGCGCATACGAGAAGAGGCACTATAACCTGTGCGCGCACAGGTTCTGACCCCAGATCAGTATACAGGGGTGTCACAGACCTCTGTCACTTGACTTCATCCGGTTCTTCTGGCCTCTAGAAGTGCCTCAGGTGTGCCGCCCCGGGTGTACGTCTGTACGTACCCTCCCTATTTTCCAGATAGGTACCGGAGCTGTAGGTTAAGCTCCGCTGCATACGCAGTCTGCAGAATACCGATGTTAGTACTGCTAGACTAGTTTACTTTAGTTACTTCCATAGTATAATGTCCTACGGGATTCTCATGTGGGGTAATGCAGCAGATATTCAAACCATATTTGTATTGCAAAAACGAGCAATTCGTTCTGTGTACCGTCTAGGCTCTCGGGTTTATCTCAGAGAAAAGTTTAAGGAGACTGGTATCATGACTGTGGCATCACAGTACATTTACTCAAATATTTTATATGCCCGTAAAAATATACATAATTTCATTAAGAAAGAAGATATCCATAATATTAACCTTAGAGCTAAGTCTGGCGGAGGGCTTGGCCAGGACGCCCGCTGTATCCTGTTCTTGCCGTCGAGTCTCTCCGGAAAACCCTATCTTTCGGGTCGGTAGATAGGGACAATGATGGAACACTTAAACATTCAAGCACCGAACTGTCCAAAAGTAGCAACCGGTGACTATGTCCAAATGTCACTGCCGCACACAGCAGCCACGGTTTCTTGTGATGGGGTCTTATGTCGGTAAACAAATGTGAGTACGTTTATGCGGAGCCTAAAGTAGGCTGCGTTATTCGAACTGTGATTGGATATCCAATTTCCAGACGAAGTAAAATCTCCCGCCAAAATGCCAGATTGACAGTTCTAACTGTTGTACTATCAAAATTCATGCTGAAGTCGCATGGAAATTGTAGTTTTGTCTCTTTTATTTTTATAATATTAAACACAGACAGAGTATAGTCAAGTAACAAAATTTATTACAGAAAACAAAACCACATTCATAGTACCACTTCATTCATCGTTGATGGAACCGCTTGTGGTGGGTCTTTGTTTTCGTGTGCGACTATTTTAAAGTTTTTGTACAATATACTGTATTTTTGATAAAATTCAAGAGTGTGTGGGGTAATTAATACCAATTTGTTTACAAAATGGATGTAGCCGACACATATGCTACTCAAAGTCAAGTTAAAGACGAGGTTGGAGTACGGTGCCAGAAGTTGTTTCAAGATTTCTTAGAAGAGTAAGTAGCATACCTGAATTCAATGTAACTTTAAACGTAAACATATTCCATATGTTTATTTATACATATTAAATGTCGATTAGTCTTGGTTTTCTGCTTCATATACATATGTGACTAATGTTTAGATCGTATTTTGTTTTTTAGGTTGGAATGTACAGTCGGCTACATAATTTTAATGCGACAAGTACATAAATTACGTTTGTTTATAATTATAAGTGTTTATATAAGTGTTTTCTTATATAAATTGCAGGTTTAAGGAAGAAAATGAGATTAAGTACGAAAAAAGCTCCAGGGAGCTCCTTAAACCCGAATTAAGTACTTTGGAAGTCAGTTTTGACGACGTTGAAAAGTACAACCAGAATCTCGCTACTACGATAATTGAGGAATACTATAGGATATATCCATTTTTGAACCTTGCTATTCTGAATTACGTTCGGAGTCTCGCAGACAGCGGTTTGAAGAAAGATCTACAAGATAAAGAATGTTACGTTTCATTTGTAGACGTACCAACACGGCATAAAGTTAGAGAATTGACAACAGCCAAGATTGGTACATTGATCAGAATCTCTGGACAGATTGTACGGACACACCCTGTGCATCCGGAGCTGGTACTTGGGACATTTGTGTGTCTGGATTGTCAGACAGTGATAAAAAATGTTGAACAACAGTTTAAGGTGAGTGTTATTTTTAATGCAATAAAACACTTGGAAGTCAATGTGGGCCTTATGATGTCAATCCCTGTGGATTATTCTACTCTATTGTATCGCCTTGTAATAAGAGGCAACACCTCAATAATAAGTACAGAGTTTTAGCTTTCTCCACCAACGAGTCGCCCAACACAACAAATAACTCCCTGGCATGCGAAATATCCCCTAATTGAAATTGGCTTCTTATCGCCACATAATGACCATATTCAATCAAATGTAGCATGTCTTCAAGTTTGTTACAAAATTTATATAGTGGAGATTCTTCTATTTGTATTAGATGATAGAACTTATTTAAGGGAAGGTGCCCAGTCAGTGTCTAAGAACAATGCATTTCTAGAAAGCGATCCATCCACAAACCAAGGCTTTCATGATGGACGCACTTAGTTTATTACAGTGACTTATTTAGGGTTTCTGCAGCCCTTTGTAACTGTGACTAGCATTTTATATATTGTAGTCATAAAAAATTACAAATTGGAGCAAAAACCAATAGCAATGACGAACTGAATAGTTTCCTTAGCTTTGTTTGTCTTTATCTCATCTGGTGCAGTATATGTATTCTTGCCTAGGAGTGAGCTTTAAGGTGGCATTTTTCCACCAGAATATAGATGATTTATACATAGACTTTTGCAAATTTAGAAAGTAATATAAATATTTTCTTCATTTGTCATAACAATAAATGTAATGTAAAATAAATGTTCACAGAAAGTATTTTATTATGTATATATTTTATAGCCTGCAACACTGCCATCAATTGCATTGTAATAGCAATCACTTTAGATAATCGATGTTGCCTCAGTATGAGACAGGACAATATTGCACACAATTGTTGTAATGATAATGGATATGGATAACAGATAATATTATAGAAGTACTATTATTATGCCTTATGTAAAGTTGAATTTTCTCATTTCACTTTCACTTTATTTTCACTAAAATAATTTTAAGATCGAGGTAAATAAGAAACTGTTTACATAATAAATTGAACATATTTCAATTGTTATAGACAAACAACATTATGCTGTAAATACTAAACAGAATAAACAGAAGTGACAAACATGGAGAGAGTTATGTTTAATATCCTTTTTCATTACCTGTAGTACACACTACCAACAATCTGCCGTAACCCTGTCTGCGCCAACCGTCGTCGCTTCATGCTGGACCCGGACAAGTCGGTATTCGTGGACTTTCAGAAGATTCGCATCCAAGAGACCCAGGCCGAGTTGCCACGAGGATGTATTCCACGTTCTTTGGAAGTAATTTTAAGAGCTGAGGCTGTGGAGTCTGTGCAGGTAATGTTTGATATTTATTACTATGTCCACTGATTTGCAACTTCAATTATTTATAGAATAGTGATAACATAAATATAAATAACTATAAGATTAATTTTCTATTATTTCTTTGAATTAGTGCTCGATGTAATATATGCTGTTTTCACCTGTTTACTACATTTTTAGTTTATAATACAGAAGACCTACCTGGAATAATATGCATTTAATAATGATAACTCACTCTTGAAATACAACTTTCACAGGCTGGAGACCGGTACGATTTCACAGGCTCTCTCATAGTGGTACCAGATGTAGGAGCACTAGCAATGCCCGGAGCTAAAGCCGAGCTAACCACTAGAACAAGACAAGGGAATGAGGCACAGATGGAAGGCATTAAAGGATTAAAGGCACTGGGTGTTCGAGAGCTGCATTACAAGTATGTTGTACATTTACAAGTCAAATTGAATTTTTTTTATTTGTCAAAGTGATTAAGTTCGACGTACTTACTTATTTCTATCATTGTACACAATTTTTTGATTGTGTTGTGAATACTCCCTGTTCTTATTCAGTGGCCTTGTAAAGTCATAATTGGCGCAGTGGCAGTGCCCCTCAGATCTTTGCGATTTAAAACTCTGAGTGCCACTGCAACTGTTATGGGCAGGCGTGTCCCTTACCATCAGGCGCACGACTTGCGCGTCGTATCACTTAGGATTATAAAAAGAAACGATAATTTCAAAATTCTTTAAAAGTAAATATTCCTTCACTTACAAACTGTGAATAATAATAACGCACACACCATAGCCCCGCACTAGGGAAACCCTGTATCGCAAGTGTCATGGACACAAACATAGACAACAACAAATTACACCCAAACTCACAAGAGAAATAAATGTAGGCCATACAAATATTTCTCCTGGCCCGGAAATCGAATTCGGGATCTGTGCGTGGCAGTCCATCATGTGGACGGTTCGGCCACTGAGGCAGTAAAAATTAGTGGTCTAATAGACATAATTATGCAGTGCTTGAAAGTACTTTTTTCACAAATTCAAAATGTTATTTATTTATTGATATTATATTATTATTGGTACAAAGGTACGGTCAAGACAGGTCTGTTGCAACACACACTGTTCAAGTGCAGTTAGGTGAAAAAAATTTTGTGTTTGATCTATGTATTAATAATAATAATATTATTATTATTTGTGCTTTATCATAAAAGTTTTCATTACCACAAGTACATTCGCAAAGGCTGGTTGTAATACAGGTTATAGCATGGTACATATGGTTGTAATACAGGTATAGCTGTCTACATAGTACTAAATATATTAAAATTTATATTCTTGTATCACACAGGACGGCCTTCCTAGCTTGCAGTGTACAGGCAATATCACGACGGTTTGGCACTGCGGAGCTTTCCACCGACGACCTTACAACCGAGGATATGAGGAAACAGATGACTGACAAGGAGTGGGACAAGGTACACAAAACCATGTTACGGTTATTTTTTATGCTTATATAGGTGTAGTGGCACTCTATATTTTTCTTCCGTGCATCATCTAGACTTCTATATTGTCATTAATGTGGTTTATTCTCATCGCTATGAAGGGGCCCCACATGCTATCGTCAAATAGATGTAGTCCAAACAAATCTTCCCTTTAACATATTTTTTATAAAGCCTTAAAGCCTTTTGCAACGTGCGTTCGGTCCATGGGCCATAAGCAGATGTTTTGATCTATTTTAGGCTCGCTCGCCCTGGGTCAAGCTGCCTTCATCTTTCCAATTTAACATATAATTTTAACATTTCCCATTAGTATATATATTAATTATGTATGCAATCGGCCGCCAACCCATTCGCGAATCTTTTGAACTACTTAGGACGTGACAGGATAAACATTCTTTGTGCTTAGTTTTACACAAGTTAGTTTTTAACATGAACATTTTTAAAGAAGAATTAACGTTTTATGTAAACTACTTTTTGTCGAATTCTTTCCAGTAGCAGACATTTTTTTAGCATTTTTGATGAATGATGATTGGCTTGTCAGTGCTTTTTTATTCGTCTATATTTCGTACCCTAGGGACAATAAAGCCACATGTGATCATACGCGTAAAGTGCTTTTATCACACGAAAGTCGTAAAAATAATACAAACAACATGAAACAAGTTATGTATGTGTGAAACTTATAAATCCTTCTGTTTAAATAAAAAATTATCCACTAATTTAATTCGTAGAATCTTTAAACCTCGCTCCAGTTGGGCTAGCACGACAGGGAGCTACTAGCGCGAGAGCGACATAAAGCGCGACATAGACATAAAGCGCGACATACTGCTATTCTCGCATACAGATTTCGCACTTTATGTCGTTGTCGCGCTAGTCGCGCCCTGTCGTGCTAGCCCTATTGAAAAGCTGTCACTTTCAAATATGGCCTTATTATACCATGGGTGCAATTTGCTGTTTAGCAATTTTTGGCGTTGATTGTACCTTAAATAAAATTTTAACTGGCAGGTATACGAGATGTCACGTGACCGTAACTTGTACAACAACTTGATAACGAGTCTATTTCCGAGCATCCACGGAAATAACGAGGTGAAGAGAGGAGTTCTGCTCATGTTGTTTGGAGGAGTCGCTAAGACTACCATTGAAGGTAAGATGAACAAACGGTTTATTTATCACCAAACACACAAATGCGATACACATAAACAAAAATAAAAAATATTTCGAAAAACTTTTTTTTTATTTGTAACTGTTAAAGTGCTCGTATCCTCTTGTCTCATGCCTTTGTAATTGTTCAAGTACACGTGTCTTCCTGTCTTATGCCTGTCTTTCTTACGTATGCTTATAGTTGTAAGGGCGAGAGCCGGGTGCTCTATGACACAGTTAATCCTAGTATAGACACCAGACTTTCACAAGCAAAACTAAATTCAAGAACATGTGAAAACCATAGGCATATATAAGTATAAGCTTCTTTTATGAAAGTTAATAAAGACATTTTCATGTCATTATCAATAGTACAAAAATGTAGCAAACTGCACAAATACAATATAAGCATTAAAACAAGATATCATTATTTTTAAATTTTAAAAAACAAAACGTACCCCTTGTGGAAGAATTGCACAAGTGGAGCCACGTCAATTACAACTCACATCCTCTCCATATAGACATATCCGATAGTCAATTTACGGGTATGCTAAGGTAAATGACAATAACTTAAACAATTTTCGCAAAAGCGTCTGGATATTCATACTTTTTTACACATATAGTAGATAACACAATCACATACATTCATTCATTTTATGTATGTACAACCAGTACCGCGTTCAGAGGAAATATTTCCAAAGTATATATAATGTACTCTTTGCTTCCAAATGTGCATCGCCGTTGCGACTTGGCGTCGCCGCGCGTTTAAAATTGTAGGCACTAACAATTTTTTTTCTATATTTTTCCATGAACTAACATTATGCGTGTGTCTGGTTTTATAATATTACGACAAAGTTCTCTTATTACACAATTCCTATTCAGTCTCTGAGACATACAATAAAAAAAAATTAAATGATCCAGCGCATGCTAGGGGGTTCGTTGGGTTAATTTAGTTAGCTTGTTGAACCGAAGTATGAAAAATGCTCCGGCTACGTGAGCTAAGTTGGCTTAGCTTCGTTCGCGGTCAGCCGTGGATCTGGCGCCAGCGCGCCGTCGGCGCGATCCTGCCCAACCTCGAAGTCTGGTTGAGCCAGCGGAAGTGCGTCACCACGTTCCGACTGACACAGATACTCACCGGGCACGGATGCTTCGGTGAGTATCTGAATCGGATCGGACGCGAGTCGACGACGCAGTGCCACCACTGTGAGAGGATCCAGGATTCCGCCCAGCACACACTGGACGAGTGGCCCGCGTGGGCCTCCGAGCGGAACATCCTGGTTGCCCGGATCGGGCGAGATCTCTCTCCGCCAGGCATAGTAGCGGCTATGTTGGCGGATCAAGAGTCCCACGAGGCAGTGGTCTCCTTCTGTGAAGCGGTGATGCTTCAGAAGGAGGTCGCCGAGCGTGATCGGGAGAGGGCCGATCCCGCTCGGCGGCGGCGTACCTTCGCGGCTGCAGGCGATCGGAGCGGGGGCTTCGTTCGCCAGTAAGTTAGGCAGCCGCGAGGAGGACGACGGGGCGGTGTGGCCCGCTTCGTCGTGAGGAGAGGAGGGGAGGACGTAGCTCCTCCTAGGTGCTGGGGGGGTTCCGGTGCGCAAAGTCGATCCCGGATCCTTCCCACTAGAGCACCCGAGAAGGCCACCGTGGGGTTTTAGCCGGTAGAAGTCCGGCATAACCTCCCGCTGCCCCCGCGGCGGAGAGGTATCCTCGGAGGATTTCCCCAAGAAAAAAAAAGAAAAAAAAAAAAAGCTTCGTTCGCGGTGTGGCCTACGCATTACACTTACCCAATGTATGTGAAAATTAAAAGCAATTAAATATTTTAATGAATGTCAGGATGTCTCACCACCATGATATTTAATTATTTTTTGTGAAATTACACAATTTTTACACTAGTTTGCTAGAAAATATCGATTCGATTCCGGCCGGATCGAAGGAATTTTTTCTAATATTTGTATTAATAATTAGAACGAAGCTAGTGGTGTAATTTCACAAAAAATAATTTAATATTATGGTGGTGAGACATCCTAACATTTAATTACAAGTTAATAGAGACATCTTTAGCCAGGGCTGGTAGTTGTAAAGGTATCTAACTGAGTGACGAAATACTTTCATAGATGGCGCTACGGCTAAAAAATCGTTGAAAACCAAACACACAGAGAAATTTGTGAGGTCCGCTGGTTCGTTCCGTGGCTTAGTTGGCATAGCGTCTGACACGGTTTGCTAGAAGACGTCAGTTCGAATCCGGCCGGATCGAAGTAATTTTTTCTAAGGGAACACTCGATCTTTGAATTAATAAGTAATTACAATTAAAAGCAAGCCAGCTAAATTACAACCTTATGTAACTCGATTTAAGGTACTACTCTCCGAGGCGACATAAACGTCTGCATAGTAGGCGACCCTTCAACGGCCAAGTCTCAATTGTTGAAGCAAGTAAGCGAGATGACACCGCGCGCCATTTACACCAGTGGAAAGGGTTCTTCCGCCGCTGGTCTTACTGCAGCTGTTGTCAAGGTGAGATTACGGCTACAATAAGTACTATTTGACTCATTAACAAAGGTCGGAAAAAAGGTGTTCCACATACATACATGTATAAATATAGCTACAAAGAGTAATACAGAGTTGTGAAAACCACCAAATTTTAATTCATTATTCAAAAAAGAATTCTGGATTTCCGAAAATGGTTCGTTCATCATTATTCGTCATTATCATTATTTTAGTAGCAGTAGTGTTCCTTGAAACAACGAACGTACAGGGAAGTAACGTACTTCCCTGTACGTTCGTCGTGCTTGTCGGAAGAAATAAATATGGTGGCAATATTTATTTCTTCCGCCAAGCAGGTTTACTGTAATGAAAAGTCAGTTATCTACTACAACATCGTCGTCCAACATCGCAGGACAAAACTACTAGGTGAGTAGCTTTGTCCTAAGATGCAGTAGAACCATTTCCGGAAATCCGGAATTCGGAACAAGTATTGAATTAAAATTTGGTGGTTTTAACAATGTAATCTTGGAACACGTTTTTCCGACCTATGCTTATTAATCAGTCATTCATATTTGGATATAAAATAATTGCTATTATGTTATTATATATTATTATTTATTTTATATTTAAATAGTAATAATAATGAAACAATACAGTTTAAATACAAAATACACTATTTTGAATTTTAAATATGGTATTCGTTATTTCTCATAGGGCTTGGATAAATATGTAGTATAAATTACAAAATATGTATGTACATATAATATGGGCAAAAAATCTTAAATTATGGAAAAAATATGGAGATAAAAAACAATTGGTTTCACATGGACTACGCTTTATTATAAAAAAAAAATCAACTAATTTCACTCCACTTCAATTTAAATTGCGTTACTTAATTGAGAAGAAATTGTGTTACAATACACACAATTACATGTTTTTTTTTTTAAATTTCAAAATTAAAATTCGACCGTTTGGTCGGGACAATGTTTTGTACTGTCTGAATGATCTTTCGACGTCACAGGATGTGACTGGAGCAAACTTAAATTTGCAAAAGTACGCATGTGAGTAGGGCACGTTTAGGTTGTCTTGTAATCTTCCGCACAGTACGCTGTTAAATTTGTTTAGTCTATTAAAGTCTTTTTCAAGCACACATTCACCTTTTTTTTTATAATTAAATAAAATATCACGGTAATATTCAAAATATGGATTATTGCAAGTTTCATGTAGAAATATAATCTATACCTGTAAATAGGGAAAATAAAAGTCCCTTTTTTTGTAATATCAAGCGACGGGACGAACAAGTCGTGCGCCTGGTACTGGTGCCACATGCCTGCCCATAACAGTTGCAGTGTTACTCAGAGCTTTTAATCATAAAGATCTGGGGCACCGACACTGCGCCCATCACCCTGAGACATACGTTAGCAAGTCTCATGCTCCTGTAATTTCACCAGCACCCTTACCTTTTACAAGCGGAACACAATAATGTGACCATTACTGCTTGGTGGTAGAAATAGGCACGGTGGCACTACTTCCCTGGACGAGCTCTTTCACAACGAGCTCTACTATTCGTTCTAAATATCATTATTTATGTAGAAAACAAATTAAAGAACGTCAATTACTGAAATCAAAAATATGTCATTGCATATTAACGGGCCCTACACGTATCACAAAGACTTATCAGCGTAAAACTTCAAGTAAGGCTAGCTAGGCTAATTTGCTTTACCGCAGAACGGAATGGAAAAGAAATTTTGTAACAAAATTGTACATATTATTAATGCACAACAGGACGAAGAATCATTCGACTTTGTTATCGAAGCCGGCGCGTTAATGTTAGCGGACAACGGTGTGTGCTGTATCGACGAGTTCGACAAGATGGACCTGGCTGACCAGGTCGCTATACACGAAGCTATGGAGCAGCAGACCATATCCATTGCTAAGGTATGATGAAGTCTAAAAAAACTACAATCTATGGTTCCACAAGGATCAGTATTGAGTCCACATTTTTTTTTGTTTTTATTAACTTGTATTGACCTATATAATAATAATACTAATAACGCTCACACACTCACGGCCCCGCACTAGGGAAACCCTGTATCGCGGGTGTATAACCGCAAATTACACCCAAACTCACGAGAGAAATAAATGTAGGCCGTACAAATATTTCTCCCGGCAACGAACCCGGGACCTCTCCGTGCCAGTCTAGCATGGTAACCATTCGGCCACGGAGAACGAGTACAGGGACAGGTAATTGGTGTGGCTGCACATAGGTTCCCAAGTTTTTTTGGCGCTCCGCCCACTTAGGCAAGATAAAAAAATTCAACGCCCATTACCACAAAAAAATAATTGAAAACGCGTATTTTTTATATTAACTTAACACAAATATCACAAGAAAAAAAAAGTATCATATATACATTTTTTTCTTTTTTTTTGTATATATGTATGTATATAAAGATTAATAAAAAAGATGATTATAATGATTAAGATATCAGTTTTTTTTTCCAATGCGGTAGTACCCCCTGGACCGCATCAACGTCCCCAATTGCTTCCGAGGCCACTACCGCCCTAGGACTCTTCAGCGCCCACTGGGGGGCGGTAGGGTTACCTTGGGAAACTATAATGGTCTAGCATATTATTATTATATGAATATAATGTTTAAAAACGGGTAACCTACCACAAACTCGAATTGATTTTTTTCCGAATTAACGTTTATTCGAATTTTCATTACACCGAAAATCAAATTATAACGAAACCGTTGTTCTTACAAAGTATGTTGGATGTTTATCGCAAAGACACGATTACGTTAAGTTATGAAAATTCGAGCAAAAGTTATTTTTGAAAAATGTAATATCGGACTTCTGATAGGTAACTTTAAAAATTATGCTAGGCCGGAGTCCGTGCAACACTAAACGCGCGAACATCAATCCTGGCTGCCGCGAACCCCATCGGCGGTCGCTACGACAGGGCGAAGTCCCTGCAGCAGAACGTGGCCTTGAGCGCCCCCATCATGTCCCGGTTCGACCTCTTCTTCATCCTCATCGACGAGAGCAGCGAGATGGTCGACTACGCCATCGCAAGGAAGATCGTCGATTTACATTGCAACAAGGAGGAGACTTACGACTGCGTCTATTCGAGAGAAGACCTGCTGCGATACATCGCGTTTGCTCGGTCTTTCAAACCAATAATTACTGAGGTATGTTCTTTGTTGCACATCGACGCCTTACTTTCTCAAATTCGTATCTTAAAGCACAAAGTTACTGAAATGCATAAATTAGATTGTATATACAAATGTTGCAGGCTGATATCACATTTCCTTCATATTCACATGCTGGTTTTTACCTATTCTGAGGGTCGTATTCTAGAACTCTACTCAATGCTCAAGTCAGGATTTGAGTATGGTTTAAAGCACTCGAAATCATACTCATGTCCCTGCCATTAGGGTCGTATTTCCAGTGCTTGTGTTTCAATTGCAATGCTGACTTGAGCATTGAGTAGAGTTCTAGAATACGACCCTTAAAATAATGCATCCAATTTAAGACCCTTGATAAGAAATTTAAAATAAATAGAAAGTTGTGCCAATCACCAAAGTGTCAGATAGTACAAGAAAAACTTAAAAGTTACAGGTAAATAGGTCGAACATCCTCCCCTCACCCCTGCTATTTTCTTACGCTATCTGCAAGGTCAATGGCTAACGCAGAGTTATCGTTATTTAGAGCGATTTAAATATTTTTATTTTTGTATAAAAGTAAATTCTGATGAATTATTAAAAGCTATGGAACCAAAGTTGTTGTTTATGGTGTTAGTAATGATCTTGTGGGGTTGTTAGTATTTTAAAAATAACCCTGTATGATCTCATACGGATGGCTTCTATGCCATTCTCAGAAAGAGAGCTGCCTCAATTCTAAACCGTATCCGTTACAGCCTATGGTTACAGCACAAGTACATTCCTCGTTGTGGCTTGTCGGATTGATTGCCTGATCAGCAGATTGATCTAGGTTGCCTCTCCTAATCGGAAAGGGCGTTTTTTCCGAGTCGAGGCGCATAATTGCGATTCACAACTGGTTGATTGGAAACTTTTGGCATTTCTAATCGGAACAATACTTGATTTAACTCACAAATTAGAAAGATATAGTAGGAATCAGGTTCATCTTCTCGCTCGGAAACCCATCTGATTTCGAGACTACCCGATCGGGTAGCCCGTCCGCAATATTATACGCCACGAGTCGGAAAAGTCGCAGTTTCCGATCGGGGGAGGCAACCAAAATCAAGCTGCATGTTACAATGTATAATTTGTAAAGTTCACAATTGGTTTGGATTGCAGTTTGGCGACTGTACATTTTTGCATTTTCTGGTGTTAAATGAATTTTTAATTTATTTTTAATATTTTGAAATAGTCTCGTTTTGTGTGGAAATAAACCGTTGATTAAATGATCGCAGGAAGCGGGGCAGCTGCTGGTGGAGTACTACACGGTGCTGCGCACGCGCGACGGCGGCGGCGCCGGCGCCGGCGGCTCGTGGCGCATCACCGTGCGCCAGCTGGAGTCCATGGTCCGTGCCGGCGCCTTACGCCTTGTGTCCTTCATGCGTACATCTCAACTGAATTATATTAACGACCATGTGCCAATCAATACTTTTCATCACACTTGCTCGTAATAGCATGATTGCAGGGTGGCTAGCTTGACTATAATGCCCCATATAAAACCCTCGGTCCTTTTTCTTTCCTGTACAGCCAGGTAGAGATTTTTTTTATTTGTTACATGATATAATTCCTTACACAGGTCAGGTTCAAGTTCATGCAAGTTAAAAATGAAAAATTATTTCAAAATTAAAATGTTATCTAAACATAAATTTAATTGCTATTCAGCCACATTCTACTTAAACTTCTACTTATTACTAAGAATTTATTTTAGTTATTTTCTGTATAAACATTTAGCAAATTTTTTTGTACAATCCATCATAGCTGTATGCGTGTTTTACGACATTTTAGTTCGGGTCATTTTACCTATGGAAGAACAGCTAAAAAAAAACTAGAACCCGCCATTTAATCATACAAGAAATAAACATTGTATTTATTTCCTCGCAAATGTGATGAAAAACATTGTATGTATCGCAGACGGGAAAAATTTCTAAACTCAAGTTATTCTAAAAGAGTGTCTATTAATAATTTCTTAATCGCCGTCCTACTCGTTTGTCGTCGTCTCATCTATAATTATATATGTATATGCATTTCTGCCAAAAGTCGTTACTTACGTAACTAATTTGTTACTTGGTTAATTTGTTTCTTATTTCTATGACACTGTGGCCTGTTCCTAGACCGGTTACCTCAAAAGGCCACTCAATTAAAACAAAGTGAAACTATTTTCAACTACTATTTTCATGGTCAACCGTGACCATGGGACCTGTAAAGGGCCCGAAACGTCGGTTTGTTTGAAAAAACAAATATACGCGATTTAAATCCGGAAAAATAGTTTCATTTCCTATGTGTAACAATCGCGAAAACCTAAGAACTCGATAAAACAAAGTGTTTATAATATTGTGCACAGGTCCGATTAGCTGAAGCGATGGCTAAGATGCACTGCAGTGGACACGTAACGCCGCAACACGTCCACGAAGCTTACAGGTACTTACAAAATGACAAAAAAATCTATCCTAGATATTCTAAACTTCGGACTCGCACACCCCATTAAATACATGCCCACGCGCACGCACGCATGTATTCATGCACCCGAATACACAAAAGTACATTACAATAGTCGCGTTAAACAGTGTAAATGAAGCAGAAAACCTTCTTTCCAGATTGCTAAATAAATCGATCATCAGAGTGGAACAACCAGACATTCACTTGGAGGAAGATGAGCCTCAGTTTGAACCCACCATGGACGTAGATCAAGATGTACCTAACGGAAATGTTACAGGTAGACCATTGTTAAATGTGAGAGATTTACTTATCACCAACCCATCTATACGTCCCCCTGCTGAGCATGGGTCTCCTCTGGCGAGAATTTAGGCAATAGTCCGTCACACTGGCCCGATGCGGGTTGGAGACTAAACCCGTTTTCCGAGGGTTGTGCACCTTCTTCGATGTGCAAATTTCATCACGATGTTTTCCTTCACTGAAAAGCTCATGGTAAATTGTTGTTCTTCTTCTTCTTTAAAATGATATGGCTCCATCGAAATAAACGATGATTTCGCCAATGTCAAGTAAAAATTACTATGTGCGGTTATTATATTTTTAGTTATATTTCCACCTCGAGGACTTGAATCCAAGGTCATAAAATAAATTTAAAAAAATTAAACTTAATTTACCAAGGCTATACTTATCGCAAAAACGGGTTATAGACATTCCATGAACAAACTAACGAATTGCCGTTTATTCGTGTAACACAGAACATTATTAAATAAAAAATGTTGTTCTTTTATACAGAAAACGGTCACACAAATGGTACAAACGGAGATACATCAACGAAGAAGAAACTGACACTTTCGTTCGAGGAGTACAAGTCGCTGAGTGACATGCTCGTCGTCTTCATGAGGAAGGCGGAAGCAGATGCGGAGACTAAAGGTAATCGGCGAACAGATAAAGCACACAAGTGCACGTTTACTTTTTTTTTACAATATTAAGTGACGGGACGAACAAGTTGTGCGCCTGATGGTAAGCGTGGCGTGTAGCCTGTCCATAATCCATTTATTTATTACGTAAAATTTAATTCGTGTGTTGGCACTTCTGTCTGCCTCATGAAGGAAGAGTTTAGGCCGAAGGGTGTCATATATCGGCAATGCCGCGGCCGGTTACCTGACACTAGATTGCGCCACACGTCGCCGACAAGTGCAATACGTGTATGTTAGTCCTTAAGGTATATAGCATATGGGTCATGTGGCCTAAAATAAATGTCTAAATAAAATAAAAAAATAAATTTTTCATTTCAAATGTTCTTAAAGTTCGTATTTATGCTCTAGTGCATAAAATAACATTTTATGCTCTAATGCATAAAATAAAAAACCACCACATTAAATATGTCTAATTGTTGTGATTTTACATTCAATTTTAATTAAATGATCGTTGATTTGTAATATTGCCGTTTAATTTTCTCGCAATCGAAGTGAAAAGCAGAGTGTATAATTCGTTCATAAAATAGCATCCACTTACTCGGGTGGATATATTCGTCTCGGGTAAAATGACGCGTCTTATGCACTTGTTGTACAATCTACTATATTGTGCACGCAAACCCTTTACTGTAATAAATGTGTCTATATTTTGGTCTGCAGGAAGAAATTTCTTTTAGAAATAATCAGTACTTTGTGATTGTGGTTGCCGTTTTACTAAATGCGATTTGTATTTTTCTGACCAATAAATATTTAAATAAATAATATACATTTAGTTCCTAATGTGTAAGTAGTAGTTTTAATAAAGTACTGCCACCTTACCTATTTCTGCCGCCAGGCAGTAATGTGAGGTACTGGTGAAATTACAGGCACATAGGACTTGTCAAAGTGATTGTACATGCTTGTAATTTATATTGAGTGCTTTGTAGTTGAACATACAATTGTGTTGTTAAATTTATTTTAAACTTATTTATTTAGATGAAGAAAGCTCGGGAATGCGTAAAAGCGCCGTGGTGAGCTGGTACCTCGAACAGCTGGTCAGTCAGGGTGTCATCGAAGATGAAGACGAGCTCGTTGAAAGGAAGGTTCTGGTCGAGAAGGTCATTGACCGACTTATGTACCATGTGAGTATCTTATATTATAAAACAACAAACATTTTTTTCCATACACCTCATTCGACATTCTATTACTTTTTAAATAGTAGAAACATTGGTTTAAATGGCAATGCATCATCAAGCCGGAATCAGTTTTTTTCTACCACTATACCTTTTTTAACCGACTTCAAGAAAGGAGGAGATTCTCAATTCACAACATTTTTTGCATTTGTGAACCAATTTTGATGATTATTTTTCTGTTGGCTGTCCAATACCCTCTTTAGGGTACCTCAGAAGTGGTCTCATTTAATTTGAAGAAAATGGTCCACCTCTAAGAGAAGCAAACGAATGACTTTTGAAGTCGGTTTTTTGGTACTCTGTACTGGGTTTACTATATATGTATATGTATATATTTTTTATAATATCAAGTGACAGGACGGACAGTTCGTGCGCCTGATGGTAAACGCTACACGCCTATCCATAACAGTTGCAGTTCCAACCAGAGCTTTAAATCGCAAAGATCTGAGGGGCACTGCCACTGCGCCCGTCACCCTGAGACATAAGTTGACAAGTCTCATGTGCCTGTAATTTCACCAGCACCCTTACGCTTCAAAACCGGAACACAGCAATGCTGACATTACTGCTTGGCGGCAGAAATAGGTAAGGTGGTAGTACTTCCCTGGACGAACTCTTTCACAAGGAGCTCTACTGGAACCCCAGGACCACTGCGTGGCAGACTAGCATGGTAACCGTGCGGCCACGGAGCACTTAGACTAAAATATATAGATAAATTTTTAATTTGCAGTGACAAGGCGATGAGCTTGTGAATTATAATGTCAACTTCCTTAAAACTCTATCATATAAACTCTACAAGCTCACCATACTTTTAGCAAAGAGAGTATATAAGTTTAATTAAGAAATTCATAAAATAAGATAAACCCTTTCATTCCAGGATCAAGTGATAATACCTCTATCAACTACGGGCCTTAAAGCCTCGCAGAAGTCGGCCGACCAAGAAGTTGAAGACGACCCGTTGTTGGTCGTTCATCCTAACTATGTTGTAGATGCATAATTCTACATTCCTTTTGTTTTATCAGTTACTTATATGTTCTCATTGATTTTTACATGACGTTAAAGCAAACGTAGTGTAGTTTGAGGGAAGGCGTATGTCCACCATCAACTCTTACGCATTAAGGCTCGTATTCTAGAACTCTACTCAATGCTCAAGTCAGGATTTGAGTATGGTTTAAAGCACTCGAAATCATACTGAAATCCCTGCCATTAGGGTCGTAGTTCCAGTGCTTGTGTTTCCAGTGCAATCCTGACTTGAGCATTGATTAGAGTTCTAGACTACGACCCTAAGAGTGTTAAATAGCCTCGTCGGAAGATTCAATTCCAATTTGTATTTGTTTACATTCAATGAGACAAATGTGGCCTTATTTTGTTTTAACTGTACTGTTTATTAATATAGAGTAAGGTTACTTTATAAGATCACAATTTTGATTTTTTACCTGAACGTTTTTAATTTGAATCATTATTGTTGAATTCATAATTAGAATTAAAAAAATAGCTATAACGAAATTTGTTTTTATTTCCCTCTTCCGAAGTTATATATTAGTATTTTTAACAAAATCTTGACATCTACATATTCAGTGGTGTTGCAACATTTGAAATTAACAATTATTTTAATGGTTAAAAATTATTGTTTTACATTTCAGTTCAAAAAATATATACAACAACAAATAGTTAGAAACGTATGAAAAACGTTTTCTTTAAAAAAATAACTTGAATTACTAACACCGTTCAAAAACTTTATACAAATCAGACAAACTAGCAATCTGTAAAATAGCTCCGTTGGCCACAAAACTTTTTGGCGGTAAAAAGTTACGACGAACAGCAGGAAATATAACGTGTTCTTGCTTCCAGTGTTCCGCTCTTGCGCCTTCAATTGTTTCATCTGGATTCGGTTGGGAGTAGAATATCGCCGTCTGACGACTGAATGTGTCGAAACAATCCTTTTCCGATTCCCAGTTTACCTCGGTAACAATACGAACGAGGTAAGTGGGAAGTGCACCCATAAATGGTGTGTGGCCATCTAAAAAGTGATATATTTCGAGTTTTCAGGTTTTCGCGATTGTTACACATAGGAAATGATACTATTTTT